TAGATCCTACATTAATATTGCTGGGCCTTTGGGCACCCAGAATTGTTCTCACATTTTACGGCATCAACGCCGGCCCTGGAAGATGCAGCACTAATGTGTTAACACAGCTTGGTTGTGATATATTCCCTCAGGTTTTGCCTAACTGAAGCATCTCCTCCAATATCAATTAAAAGTGTTATCTTGCCATCTCCGATTTTTACAATTTCTTTTCTAAGACAGGCGCTGCTGGCATTGAATGAATCCACAGGGTAGTTTCGTTGTACAACAAACACATGTATTCTGCTGTGACGATTTAGACTAAATTCAGAAATGTATCCAATCCAGGACCACATATGAAAGTAGAGCAAATCGGACTTGAAAGGATTTGTTCACACGACTCAGATTAGTGTCACATGTATACAAACATTCAGATATGGCCTGTCTGCACACTGCAGTTTAAAATAGCCAGTGACAAAAAAAAAAACTGTTCTGCATCACCGTAATCCCACAAAATAAATCAATAAGTAAATAAGCAAACGCATGATCAGATAAGCTTTTTTCAGTAATGAGGAACGAGAGAAGCGATAAGCACCTGTGAAATGGAGTGCACCTCGCTTCTCTGTGCCAATTCATCTACAGTATTTATTTCTTGGTAGAATAATTTGTTTGTGCCATTTTGTTCATGTAAACCCTTTATTCCAGCCATCTCATAATAAGCTTGAGTCAGGAACCTCTCATCGAATGAAAGATGTATCCACTTTAAACCCTCGTGTTTTCATCTGCCTTGTCTAAAGGCCCCTCTCCAGAGCCAATTCTTAGGTCCATTTAACTCGCTTCGCTGCTGGTGACTGATTCAGCACACCTCAGACACGGAGCCAATGGGCTGCTGGGATGCATTGGAATATTCATAACATCCCAACAGATGCGTGACTAGACAAATGCATTTTATCTTTATATATTTAACTTGTAATGTTCTACCTATTAAAGATGAACTTGAAATAAGCATGGAAGGCTGCAAACTCAGCAAAAATGGATAAGGTTCTGGTATATGGGTCAATGAAATTAGTCTATCCACAAGAAAAAAAAAAAAAACTTTAAACAATCTAGTTTAAAACACACATGCCAAGTTTTTAAGAAAGTTTTTAAATATGTCAATGAATGTATATATGAATGATTCAGATCATCAAACTAATTTTAATATTACACAAAGGTAACACGAGTAAATACAAAATACAGTTTTGAAATTATTAAATTTATTAAGGGAAAAAAGCTGTTTCACTACGTGAAAAAGTAATTGCCCCCTAAATCTAATAACTGGTTGTGCCACCCTTTGCAGCAAAAACTGCAAACAAGCGTTTGCGATAACTGGCAATGAGTCTTTCACATCGCTGTGGAGGAATTGTGGCCCACTCTTCTTTGCAGAATTGTTTGAATTCAGCCACATTGGAGGGTTTTTGAGCATGAATGGACTGTTTAAGGTCATGCCAGAGCATCTCAATCGGATTTAAGCCCGGACTCTGACTTGGACACTCAAAAACCTTAATTTAGTTTTTCTTGAGCCATTCAGAGGTGAACTTGCTGGTTTGTTTGGGATCATTGTCCTGCTGCATAACCCAAGTGCGCTTGAGCTTGAGGTCACAAAGTGACGGCCGGACATTCTCCTTTAGGATTTTCCGATAGAGTGCAGAACTCATGGTTCCATCAATTATGGCAAGTCGTCCAGGTCCTGAAGCTGCAAAGCAGCCCCAGACCATCACACTACCACCACCATGTTTGACTGTTGGTATGATGTTCTTTTTATGAAATTATGTGTTGGTTTTACACCAGATGTTTACGCCAGGGACATACATCTTCAAAAAAGTTCAACTTTTGTCACATCAGTCAGTCCACAGAATATTTGCCCAAAAGGCTTGGGGATAATCAAGATATTTTTTGGCCAATGTGAGACGAGCCTCTGTGTTCCCTTTGGTCAGCAGTGGCTTTTGCCTTGGAACTCTCCCATGGATGCCGTTTTTGCCCAGTCTCTTTCTTATTGTTGAATCATGAACACTGACCTTAATTGAGGCAAGTGAGGCCTGCAGTTCCTTAGATGTTGTTCTGGGTTCTTTTATGGCCTCCTGGATGAGTCGTCGTTGCGCACTTGGAGTCATTTTGGTAGGCCAGCCACTCCTGGGAAGGTTCACCACTGTTTCAAGTTTTCTCCATTTGTGGATAATGGCTCTGACCATGGTTCGCTGGAGTCCCAAAGCCTTAGAAATGGCTTTATAACCCTTTCCAGACTGATACATGTCAACTATTTTGTTTCTCATCAGTTCTTGAATTTCTTTAGATCACGGCATGTTGTGTTGCTCTTTAAGCATGCTTCACTTTGTCAGAGAGGTTCTATTTAAGTGATTTCTTGATTCAACAGGTCTGGCAGTAATGCTTTTTCACGTAGGGCCATGTAGCTTTGGACAGCATTTTTCCCTTAATAAATGAAATCATCATTTAAAAACTGCATTTTGCCAACCGACTCTCTAACCATTAGGCCACGACTTCCCCTAAATTAATAGATAGGACAAAAAAAATAGATTGTCATGACATGTGCCACATCCTATTAATCAAAAACTGAAAGACCTATAAATGTGTCACAGAGGGAAACTAAAGGATGCATGTGTGCGTGAGAGTGGGGGAGATTAGTTGAAGGGCTAAACCCTCCACAGAAGAGTCATCAGTCTTCTCAGCACATCCGTCAGGGATTTTCAGACATCGGAGAAAAGTATGCGTGTCCATTTTGTGTCTTTGTGAATAGGATTGCGACCTTCACAGAGAGAACATGCAGCCCTGAAATGATTTACAAGTCTGCTCTGAGTGAGAGTGGGAAGGAGGAGAGGAAGGGTGAGACAGAATGACAAAGAGGCAAAAACGAGGAGGAAAGTCAGAGAGTTTCCACCTATTGATCCAGGTGGGAGTGTACAGAAACCCAAAGGCCCTCCAAATGAAGGACGTACCACTGCAGCCGACTGTATGCCAGTAATGTGACCCACTAACCACATGTAATTAAGACAAAGGGACCGGTGCCAGAGGGGTGGGCTGAATGAAAAGTGAGCGGCGGCTCAGGAGAGGCTGAATTGGGGCTCGCAAACGCAGCTGTGGAAAAAGGCTGGCGTGAGGAGCTCTGGCAGGGCAGGCGGGAATCAAGACCGAAGGAGCTGATTTACAGGAAAACTTTCTGCTTCATTAATGCTGTCAGAGAGCTTAAATGGCCCGATATGTGACACAACTGTTCCTCTCCATCTCACTCTGTTTTCTCCTGTCTTGGGTTTTCTGTTGTCATTCTCGTTCTCTCTGGCTGTTTGTTTTTGACACTCTGCAGTGTTTCCGCAGAAGAGATTAAAGAGGATTAGTGATGTAAATCTGTTAATGAATCTAACATTCAAATAACTTTGTGTTGCCCTTCTTGCAATCTCTCCTTCAGAACTCCCCTTCTCTTTTTTACTAACAGAGTTTTACACAAATAAAATTATCAAAGTTATCAGTGTTATTTTAGTATGATTGAGGTACTATCGTTTTTATTTTCATATTTTCTGTTTTCATTTAAAAATTTTTGTTAAAGTTTTAGTAATTTTGTTTTTGTAATTTTTAATAGTTTTTGTTATAATTTTTTCATTTCAGTTTTAATTATTTTAGTATATGAAGAATGTTAATGAGAATGTTGTCAGTTTGTTTCAGTTAACAATTATTTAAAGCATTTTTTTTCTTTTATGGCTATCATTTTTTTTCTGTTTTAGTTAACTAATAAACCTGGTATTTAGGGCTGTGATGACTAATTGGTAATAATTAATGAAAATGATTAGCAATCAATTTTATTATGGATTTGGCATGTGTTTATGCTGTGCTTGGAGAATCATCATCAGTGATGTAGAAAATGAATAATTTCATATGTGTAGTGTATGATTGTATATGCAGGTGTGGTCATGTTTTTGATGAGTGCTTGTTATGCTAAATGCATTTGAGATGTTTTGTTTTTATATATATGGACACATCTTGTATCTTGCTATTTTGTGCTTACAGTTCAAGCATTTTTGTTCTAACAACAGCATTTTATTTGCTGTCTTCCTTTTGATCAACAAAATGACTATATGGCCCACAATACTGCAAACCATACAGTACACATTTTTGCTTTGTGTTCTTTGACAAGATGGTCAATCTGTGACACTTTGACCCTCAGTTGTTATTTATGCAAATTCATAAGTTTAAAGAGTTGAAACATGAACTTTGGTATCCAGCACAGAACTTTCCGGTCCTGTGTTTACATGCATGTGTGTGGAAGTCTGTATGGCTGCAGCTTTAAACTTGCATGGCTATCAATTAAACAGAACCCAGCAGACATTTTATTTTGATTAAAGACTTTTAATAAAAACATATGTTAAGGCAAAGAAAAGATTCTGTTGCCAAAGGCTATTTCTGCTAAAACCACCTGGCTTTGCTCAAATATTACAATTTTAGCACAAATAGCACATTCTGCCTATTTATACTTTGTGTGAATAGCATTTAATTCTATCTGCACTTGGTGTAAACAAGATGCAATTAATTGCTATTTATATTTGGTGTAAACAATATCTACTACTATCTATGTCTATGCCTTTATTTGGTTATACTGTTCAGCTGCTTTCAAACTGTATGTTATGTATAGCAATAGATTTAAATATTGTTTGAAAAAGAAAAATGAGCAAGATATGATCTGATTAATCAAAGACATATTTGACTGATTAATTAATTAGTTGTTTGACCTCACTGAAATGGTGTTTGGATCACTCATCTATATTTCTTTCTTCCCCCGCAGGACAAATGACATAGGATGAACACTGCTGGTCATCTCTGGCTGTCTGTGCTGTCATCCCTTTTTGCACTGGCCTGGGCCGTGGAGCCGCTGGGTCAGGCTGTCCCCTGCTCCTCTCTGGTGGCTGGGGTCTTATACGGCTCCTTCTCGCTTAGGGACCTCTTTCCCAGGCCGTCGGCTCTGACATCTGGATGCTCCTGGACTGTGGAGAACCCTGACCCCACCAAGTACTCGCTCTATTTCCGCTTCAATCGCCATGCCGGCACGTGTTTAGCTTTTTCCCCGCTGGTGCTGCCCCTGGACCACTACCTCTCAAACCAGACCTGTGGCCCCCCAAACCAGCCCACCTTCCCCTCGGACCCTGAAGCTGTTGAGCTTTGCATGGTCCCAGGACCCCACACCTTCCTGCAGTTTGATAAGAACTTTGTGCAGTTGTGCCTGACCACTCATCCCAACAAAGACGGCGACAACGGAGATGGGACATCCGAGGGCCAAGCCCCCTTGTCGGCGGAAACTCTGGACTTCCGGCTCGTAGAGGTTCTGCTCATTAATAATGAGAATTCGAGTCAGTTTACGTGTGGAGTCCTGTGCCGATGGTTTGAGGAGTGCTTGCACATCGGCTCAGGCTGGGAAACCAAGAGCTGCAGTATCACCCAGACGGGATGCGTTTGTCCCAACACGGCCCCTCCGGTCTCCCTACTGCCCACTGCTCCCCATAACCACTCTTTAGACCCCAGCGCGAGTGTGTTGCAATCCCCACCCGACGACTGTTGTGTCACACAGCTGCATTCAAAGAATGGCATCGCTATAGCACCCAGGGATGTCCGGCAAGGTAAGCCAAGCTTCCTTCTGACCAGCTGTTAGCTGTTTCATTTACAGCCTACTCCATTAAAATCAATTAAGCTGCTTTACAAGCTACTTTGTTTGATTGGGTAACTATGGGCTCGTTTTGGATCACAAGCAAAGTGTTTCACTTTCAGCTTGATTTGATTTGATTTGGAGAGCTCATTTTATATTTCAATTATTAGCCTCTAATTACAAAAGGGAAACTTTAACTTTAAAGTGCTTGGAACTGCCTCCAATCAGGATAAGTGTTTGTGATAAAATAGTAATCACTGACTCCCCTTGGCTGCACTGTTTTAGTCCTGCTGATGATCTTATACACTGTGTTCTAACTGGGTGTGACTCGAAAACCTTCTAGTGACAAGTAATCTATCAGTAGATTGATCATTTTGTGTTTATTATGCAAGGTTAGGTCTGGTCCTCAAATCTGATTGGCTGAGCAATGATTCAAGAGCTCTGATATTTAGCGCAGCACTTGGAACTGAATCAATTATCTTTGTCTGTATAGTAGGATTTCAGGGACTCTTTCTGCAAGATATATTGTTAAGCTAGTAGATGGTAACAAATAGCTGTATTATAATGACTCACTAAATCGATAATCACTATAATAATCACCGATTAATTCAATACCCTGATTCAATCAGGAGTAAACAAGTCATTAATTCACTGAACCACTGCTTCATTCAGAAATAAAACAAGTTGACTGTTTCTGAACATTCATTCAAGCAAACTATTTCTTACTATTTCTGCCACAAAAAAGTAAAAAATAGTAAGAGTAGCATGCTAGTATGTAGTTCTGAATTCTGCACGTGTTATGAGTAAGCCTGAATCATTCGTTCAGCTGATTCGTTCAAAGACACTGATTCTTTCAGAAATGAGCGAGTCATTGAACCACTGAAACGATTTTTTCAAAACGCTGATTCGTTCCGGGAAAAAAGCAATTAATTCAGTGTGTTTACATGCACCCTCATAATGAGATTATAATTACATTTTGGCAATATAGCGATTAAACTTTACCTCATGTCAACGCAATACTTCGATCTAAATAATGCGATTAAGCTCATAATCACAGCAAGCATGATCATATTAAAGGTGCACTAAGCAATTTTTTTGCCAAACGATGTTGATATTTGAAAGCACCAAAACAAACACGCCCAACAGGACCTCACCCCTATTTTTATATCTCTGCCCCACATGTACGTACACAACCCTGGCATAACGACGACCGCAGAAACAAGTGAAGATGACACAAGCATATTCAAACAAAAGCCAACACAGATAAGTTGTTTGAAACAATGCAAAATCAACGGTACTCACCTATCAAAAAGAAACAACGCAACCTCGCGGGTCCTACCTCTTGCCTGGTCGTAACCCTTCTTTTAATGTTTTATTCCTCCGATATTTTCCTCTTTTTTATCTTCCAGTTCTCTCTATCTATAGTCGATCTGCTACTATCTGTCCTGTGCACTCAAATTGAGCGCTCTCTTCTCTCTATCAATACAAGACACGCCCCTTACTGCTGATTGGCTGCAAGCGTGTTTTGGGACATGGTCCGACACTGCGGTCAAAAGCGGTTTTCAAAAATTGCTTAGTGCACCTTTAACAGAGGTGGCGTACGCATGTAAACACCTTAATCGCATTATTGCTGCTCTGACCAAAGTGTGCATGTGGTTGTGATGTACATAAATGACGTGACACGCACCTGCAGTAATATGCAGATTAGAAATGATGGTGGGGAAGCAAGCATCGCATTTCGGGGGAGCCAGGGGAAACAGAGTTCATGTTGTCGACGTTGCGCGTCATCAACATAATGCAGTACATTGATTGATGAAAACACTGAAATAGGGACATTTTTAGGCATGTCACAACAAAAATGTCCGAGACCAGATACACAAGAAACAAATTTGATTTAATTTGTGCTGTGCAGTGGGGTATGTCAATAATGGCGGTAAAAAATAACCACCATTAATAACAAATAATGCGAATAATGGAAATTGCATGTAACCAGAAGTGAAGCTTTGCTCTTGACTTCATCAAACATCATAATGTGATTAAATCCTTACTCTGATTATTAGAAATAATCGTATTATTTGTGCACATGTAAACGTAGTCATTGAATCACTCAACCGATTTGTTCATCACCACTGGTTAGGAGGCTGGTTAGGAGAGAAACGAAAGAGTAGCAAGGAAGAGATGTATTGCTTATCGATGTATCACGCCGGGTGACCAGATTTAAAATGGTATATTGGTATATGGTCTCAAATCTGTCACTTGTCACATTTGCTGATGTCGTTTTGTGTTATTGCTTCGGGGTTGTGGGTGGATATAGAGGTAGAGGACAGTTCATGGGCTGCTGATGATTTTTAAATATATATTTATGTATTGCCATTATTCGGGTCAACTTTTTCCTCTGGCCCCCGCTGTTGTTTTTTTTTTGTTTGTTTTTTTTAATCTGCCCCGATATAAGTTACAGGTTATCAGACCCATAGGCAATCAGCGCCATTGATAGACGTCATTATGTTGTGTATAGAAACATTCTGCGTGTATTTCTGATTGAGGGACAGAGAGAGTCAGAAAGTGTGTTATTGACGCCGAAAAATAAGCGACTAGGAGGGGAAAGTGAGAATGAGAGGACGTGTATGTGCACGCATGCTTCAGCCGGGCTTTTCCTGGCTCGCTCTAGTGCCTCTCAGCTAAAGCCACACTGAGTTTTATCCTCCCTTGAGTCAGCATGCTGATTGGCTGTGCCAGACAGGAGGACACTGCCAATATGCCTGTTACAGAGATGCAGCCTTCTCCTGTGCCCGCAAAGACTGCACATTAAACGGCCTTCTCCTCAAAGCTGACATCACTGACACCAGCCAATTTCAAGCATGGAGAGTTCTTCTCTGGAAAGATGTTGACAGTATTTTTAGGTGCATATTGGGAGATTTTTTTCCGTAAGTAGGCCACTCTGGAATAGAGGATATATAGCATCCTGCACAGTCATTGCAAATGATTCAAAAGGAAATCAGAGCACTCAGGCATATAGGTCTCTTAACTACTATGTAATGTAATAATCCGTCTAATTTTGCAGTGCAGAAGCTAGTTATTTTCTGTGAATGTGTGAGACTTCATTAGCTCCTATAGGCGCATAACTAGAGAAATGACATAATTGTATTAAACTATTTGTGCTACAAATCAGTGTGTTTATAATTATGACAATACATTAAAATAATATCAAGCAGCATAACAAGCTCTTTTGTACAGCTAAAAATAACTGGAAACGAATGACACCGGAAACCTTGCACGTTCAAGTTACAAATGGCTGAACCTGTTCGTATGTTAAAAATAAGGTGGATGTGATAATTAGACCCACAAGGATTCTGCAAACTTTTTCATATTTACGGTAAGGGCAAATCTACTGAAATCTGTGGAATAGGTTTAAAAATAAAAAAAAGGTGCACTTTAAGTTTTTCCTTATTAAAGTTTTACAGTAGTGAGTTGATTTTTGTAAAAATATGATTAACATACTGAAAAAAAATGCTGAAAAAAAGTATTAGTTAAACCATTGAAAATATTATTAAAACAATCATGTATTCTCACATGAGGTCAGGGCTCCCATCATATCTTCATAGCTGTCACCTAATAAAAGCTTTTTATTTTTACATGAAGTTGGTCTTTTCATGACCAAACAAATACTCATTTTATTGTACCTTAGTACTCATCTATTGTTGTCACAACACACATGAAAATAACAAAGTGCGCCTTATACTGAAATGTACCAATTTTCTTGTTAGCAACTGAAAATTTCAGCCAAACTGATTTTGCCTCTTATTTAAACAATATATTTTTTAACCTGTTTCAAATCCACTTGTTTTTGTACAATTTTGTAAATGACACACATTCTGCAGGGCCTTCATCAGAGATCTGCGTGTGGTACATTTTCTGCCATAATCTGCGTATGTTGAACTGCAAATAAATCTTTTTGTTTGGATGGGAGATGAACACACCACAGACGAAAATTTGTTTCTGTGAACTGTCACCATCCCTTGGTGTGCAAATGATTTAATTACAGGCGTGTTATCTAAAGGCTTAATTGGACTAATTATTTAATTGTCTTCAGGCCTAGGTATTTCTTGCTCATCTCTGGATCATAGACAATCCCTATGCTCAAAGCCCACATGAACATGGAACTTCTCGCTCCTCCGTGTGCCGCAGCCTTGAGATTAGGTTGGCGAAGGAGGAAAAAAGGCACACGCTGTTACAGCATTTCTTCTTTTTTTATGCTAGTGTTGTAGCTTAATAGAGGCTAATTGGTGTGATTGCATGTGTGTGATGTTGATCTAGTTTCCTGTAGACTGAAACATCAGCTTGCAGGCAGAAGAAGCCAGATTGCCATGCTGCATTAGCTATTGTGCTTGAGTTAATGTTGATATAATCTCTCTTTGATTACATCCAGTGATTACTCTCTCTCCATAAAGTGCCTTGTGTTGTGCTTTTCTGGAGGTCCCTGTCTGTTCCACATAAACAGCGAATGTTGAATATTTTCAGATCTCTAGTGTATGTGTATATACTGCACACATATATTTAGCGAATGTCAAATTGAACTTGACTAAATTGCAGGAATTATTAGAAACGCACTGGCATATACAGAGGCTTTATATTTTACAATTGTCAATTTAAGTCTCAACTGTTTTCTAATAGCAATAATAAATTGCAAATTTAGTTCACAGTGGGATTTATTTTTGTGATTTTTTTTTTATGTTACTTTTTTTACTCTCACAATCACAGTTTTAATGACACAAATGTGACTTTGTATGTCACAAATATTGATTTATTTCTTATTTAAAATGTTCTTTCCCTAACATTAGTATATAATTCTTAAATATGCAAGCCTCATTCTGCCAAAAAATAAAATGGGTAATTGTTAAATTAATAACATATTTTCTTTTAACAGATCTTCTTCTTTTACAATGTTAATGCTTTTAATAGTTTATTTTATAAGGA